CGCCTCCCCCTCGCTCCCCCACGCCGAGCTCGGGCTGCCGTCCGGCCCCTGCGCCGCCCGGCCGGCTCTCGCGGGAGCCATGTCTGCGCTCGGTGTCCTGCCGCCTTTCTGTCGGCCACGGCTTTGTCGCATCTCTCCCGGGCCGCCCCTCGGACCCTTTGCACACCCAGCAACACAAGGGCCCCCTGCCAGCCGCGGCGCCCCGCCTTGGCCCCGAGAGGCCGGCGGTCGGGTCGAGGCTGCGAGGCGTGTGTGACCTCGGGGGTCCTCGGGAAGCGCCCTCCCTGCAGCGGGGCTGCTGCGTGCAGCGCCGCCCCCTCCGCACGCTCCTCGCGAGCCCGTCGCGCCCGCACTGCCCTCCGGGGCCCCAGGGCTCTGCGGGCAGGGACAGGGTCTGAGGACTCCGCCTGCAGGCAGGCCGCTCTGTCCCGCGGAGGTGACCCCGGCCGCGCCGCTCCGTCTCCATCGGCGGCGGTTGGCTGGTGATCCTTTGTGTTGCCGCTCGCGGCACCTGTTGCCTCCGGGGAGCGGGGCCTCCGCGCGGAGTCGAGGCGTGCCAGCCTGGCAGCTGCGGGGCAGGAATTAGCCGCAAGCCGAGGCCAGGAGCGGGGCCGGCACTCGAGGTGGCGGGGCTGTTTTTAGCGACGCTCGGGCCGCGGGCCGCGAGCAGCAGCACCTTCTCCACTCCTCCCTCGGAGCCACTTTGTTCCGAGGCCCTTGGCCGGGAGAAGCGGTTTTAGAAAGCGGCCCAGGCCGGGGGACCCGTCACGCTCTGCTCCCACGGCCGCTGCGGGCTTGCCTGGGCTGCTCCTTTGCGGAGATGTCCATCACCTTGGCACAGGCCCCTGCCCCGCGGGGATGGGCGGCCGCCGGGGATCCAGAGCGGTGCTCTCGGAGCTGCCCCGAATTCCCGGCTGGGACCCAGCGCGCCAGCCCCGCTCTGCCCCACCTGCTGCCAGCTGTATGTGTAGCGCAGTTCTGGGCGCCAGCAGGGCAGGGCCGCCTCTCCTGCTTACCTCGGTTTTGGGGCCTTTGTTTTGTTTCGCGCGAGGTCAAGGCCTCGGCCTCCAGCGCTTGGGGCTGCACCCTTGTCTTTGGAGAGTTTCAGTGCCGAGAGTGGGGTGACCAGGCCTGGGGTGTGCACTGTGTGCCTGGGAGAGAAAGCTGGCTGGGGGACCCCTGACTGTCCATTGGGAGGCCTTAGGGTCACCAGGCCATCCTGCCTGGCTAGGGTACACGCTGCCCACCTGGCCCACTGCCCAAGGTGCTGCCTGCCGCGGGGCTCTAGCCTTCGCTTGGGGGCTCAAAGCTTCGGCTGGAAGGAGCTTTGGAAAACCTCCAGCGCACCATCCTCCTTTCGTTTCCGCAGAGGCGGGGGTCCTGTCTGAGGGGAAAGTGACAGGTCCAGGGTCGCCCTGCCAGTGGTTGGTAGGCTGGGTGGAAGTCCAGACACTTGGGACTGTTCCCTGCCTGTCTTCTATTTCAGTTAACAAGCTAGACCACCACCTTGGCCGCTGTTTCCCTGCCCCTGTACTAGTTGCTCACCAAGTGCAGCTGGTGTCCTGTCTGGCCTCGCTGCTTCCCCGCCTGCCTCTCTCGGTCACTTCCTGCCTGGCCCTGCTCGCCTCATTCCTAGGGAAAGCCCATCCCGTGCACCCTTCAAAGCCTCGCTCAGGTGTCACACCTTCTCTTCTGAGAAAGCCCTTCCCACACACTGCCCTAGTCCCTCTGGCTCGGCTTGGTGCTGGGCTCTTCAGGGTGCTCTTCTTCTTTCTGGGAGAGGGTCCTCGACCTTTTTGCCAGATGGGAGGTAAAGGGCGGCACCTGGGCCTCTGCTTTGATGTGACAGGTGGAACAAAAGAACCACGATGCCTGTCATCCTAGCACTTGGGAGGCAGAGGCAGGAAGATCACTGGAGTTTGAGGCCAGCCTGGGCTACATACTAAGACTTTGTCTCAGAAAAAAAGAAAAGAAAAAGACGATTACATCTGCCTTGCTGGGTGTCAGCCCTGAGGTGGCGGGTGGGACAGCAGTAACTACAAATGGAGTTGGCAGCCTGGAAGTGGGTGGGAGGGCCAGTGGCACGGATAGAAGCCTGCCTTGGTCTTGCAGAGCAGAGGCTCCTACCAGTTGTCCAAATTCTCCTCTCCTAAGTGGCAGTGTGGAGGGCAGCAGCATGCCAGGGCACATGTGGCCTGGAGGCCTGGGCTTGGGTTGCACAGTGCTCGCTGGGCGGTTGGGGGTGCCAGAGGGCAGCTGATAGTTTGAGAGATGGCAAGCTTGGGGCTTGCCGTGGAAGCGGAGAGGCCTGGCTCCCGCAGCAGGGGTGCGCCCCCACAGGCTCTCTTGATGGGGCTGGGGGCTGGCCTTGCCTTACCTGGACAATTCTACAATGTCGAAGGAGCCCAGGGACCTCTGGTCATTTCTGACCTTACCAACTGGGTCAGGATTTCACCCCAAACCCCAGCAAGGCTTCCTTTGTTTTTTTGCGCGCCGGTCTTGCTTGGCAGTTCGGGCTGGCGTTGTGCTTGTTTTGTGGTCTAGTTTGGTCTTAATGTTGTCAGGTCGTTGGTGTTCCTGGTTTTGGTATTTCTTGGCTTCTGCAGCATGGCTCTGTTTGTTGTTTTTTTTTTCTTCTTGGTCCGTTTGTGGATTTGGGGCGTTTTTGGTGTTTTCTGTGTTTGCCGGTCTGGGGAGCGAGGTGGTGGCGGATGCTAGGGGGGACGTAGATGGGGCAATTCTGCTAAGAGTTGTAGTCTTTTGTTTTTTTTTTGCTTCCGGTTTCTTGTAGTTCGCCCCTGTTGGTCATCTCAATCGCCTTTTATTAGAACCAAGGACGTAACTCAGGCCAGCAGGAGAAATTCGTTATCCCTTTCCCCTTCTGCCTCTCAGCTAATGGCAACAATCCTCAGGCGAGCCTCCCACACCCCGCACCACGTGCACTCAGCACGGCTGGGGCTCAGAAGCCGACCATCAGTAATCAATCCATTAGCAATTACAGGGCACCTGTGGCTGAGGGCATGGGCAGCAGCTGGGCTTCAGTGACTCAGCTAAACAGCTGTTGGGCGCTTGCGGCGAAGGGGCTCTGCCTCTGCGGGGCCTACGTGCTCCCCTACCTGGGAGCCTCCTCACGCTGGCCGGTCGGGCTATAGATGACCGCGGCCTCTTGCTCCAGAGTCTGACCAGGGAAAAAGTTGCTCCTCCTGCACTCCCAGCGCCCCTGGCCTTGTGGGAAGCAGCTCCTGGGAGACCTCCTCTGCCCTCCCCTTGGAACAGCCTGACCTACCCCCCAGGCAGCAGAGCGCAGTTTGGAAGGGGGTGGCACATCGTCTGGCAGACAGCCCTGGCACCACAGGTGGGAGGGACACGATGGGCCTGGGCAGAGGGGCAGACACCAGGCTGCTGGAGGCTCGGAGAGTCCTCTGATATGACACAAGGCTCTGTTCTAGCTGCCACCTCTGGCTGGAGAAAGATCTGGAGTGGCGTAGGCGGGCTGGTGGGGGAGGGGTGCCACTGTTGCTGAGCCTGCAGACCATCACCTAGGAGACAGAGGCGCTGGAAGTGGGAAGAGACAGTGGGAGCTGCGGCCCCCGCCCCCCGCCCCCCCATGAGGCGTGTGGCTCCCGGAGAGGGCACTGTGGGCACAGTTTTGTTTTTGGTTTTGGATTTTTTGAGACATGGACTCACTGTGCAGTTCAGGCTGGCCTTGAATTCATTGCGTAGCCCAGACTGGCCTTGGACTCCCAATGATTCTCCTGCCTCAGCCTCCTGAGTGCTGGGATGACAGGCATGCCCCCCGACACTGAGCTGGCACAGAGGTTTATTTGCGATGCTCCTCCAAGTGGTCGGGGAAGGAAGTCAGTGGCCAAATTCCCAGAAGCTGATGAATTATCTTGCTCAGCAGCTTCCTGCCTGTTGGTGTGACCTTGACGGGAAACAGGGTACTTGCAAGCCCCTGGCAGCAGTCTGAGGACCACAACTGTGGCATATGGCTTGGCTAGAGTGGCTGGTGGCCAGTGTGGGAAGGCTGGGGACTCAGAATGGTCCCATGCTCCCAGGTGGTGTGACCTGATCTTCATTTTTGTCCTCCAGCGACCAACCAGTGGTTCATCCCAGCTGTGAGAGGGGATATCCCTCCGGGCTGTGCGGCCTATGGCTTCGTCTGCGACGGCACCCGCCTGCTGGTGTTCGGCGGGATGGTGGAGTATGGGAAGTACAGCAACGACCTCTACGAGCTCCAGGTGACAGGGCCCCTTCCCGCCACCTTGTGGGGGTGGGACAGCCTGGTGACAGGGGACCCCCCAAGAGCCAGTGTCAGAGTCACTCTGGTAGTGCCCTCTACGCCACCTCCTGCCCAGGCGACTTTCTCGCCCTGGGACTCTAGGCACCAGTCTTGATTTTATAGGCGAGTCGCTGGGAGTGGAAGAGACTCAAAGCAAAGACACCCAAAAACGGGCCCCCTCCATGTCCTCGGCTCGGGCACAGCTTCTCCCTCGTGGGCAACAAATGCTACCTGTTTGGGGGTCTGGCCAACGATAGTGAGGACCCCAAGAACAACATTCCGAGGTGAGGCTCTGCTCTTTTCTTCTGGCCGTTACTGAGATGGGTCTGCGTACAGAGGCACGGGGCTCCCCGAAGTCCACGGGGCCCTGCCCCTTCCCAGCATGGCTTTACACAAGCCCTGAGGAGCCATCCGGCTTGCAACTCTGAAAACCCAGTGGGCCTTGCGTTTCGGCCCTGTCAGGAGGTCCTCTTGCACAGCACCCGACTCTGGGGAGGCCCCGGGGGCAGTGGCTCAGAGCATGGTGGGGTCTGTCCCACTGCTCCGGTTGGACTCCTCTTTGGGGCGAAGGTAGAGGAGCATGGTGTTCACTGTTGGCCTTCCAGTGAGGCCTCGTGCTGTGGTGGCTGGCTGTAGCTCCCCCGTTTTCCATCCAGGTACCTGAACGACTTATACATCCTGGAGCTACGGCCCGGCTCCGGAGTGGTAGCCTGGGACATCCCCATCACTTATGGGGTCCTGCCCCCACCCCGGGAGTCCCATACTGCTGTGGTCTACACTGAGAGGGACAACAAGAAGTCCAAGCTGGTGATTTATGGAGGGATGAGCGGCTGCAGGCTGGGGGACCTCTGGACCCTTGACATTGGTAAGAAGCCCACAGCTGCGCTAGCTCTTGCCCTCCCACGGGGTAGAGGTGGGGTGTGCCGGTCCTAAGGTAGGACCCAGTGCCTTAGGTTGGTGGTGCCCCTTTGAAGGAAGAATGGGGTGCAGTTGGCTGGTTGCCTGCTGGCTTACAGGAGGGATAAGGAGAGCGCAGTTCTAGAGGGGACTCAGTTTAGTGGCACTGGTCCCTGTTGGCCCAGCGATGGCGGTCTATTTGCCGAGTAGCACAGCCGCCAAGTCAAATGCCGCAGACCCTCGCGCAGCTGGGGAGTGTTTGAGCTGGTGACCTGGGGGTGGCTGCTATGTCCTGGAAGGTTGGCTGCTGGGAGGGTGGGTATCGGTTCTGTTGCCCTCCTGGCTCAGAGCTGGCAGCAGTGGGGAACAGCGTACGTGCAGTCTTGGCACAGCACTTCCTGGAGCGTGATCTGCAGGATGCTGGGGGCAGGGCATGGTTTCCATGGAGACAAGGGCCCGGCCCAGAGAGATACAAACTATGCCAGGACAGTCGGGCTGGGTTAGGAAGCCTGGAATCCTGTGCTGGGGGCTCTAGCAGGCAGAGGCAGGGACAGGCCAACCCTCTCCCCACCTCTGCAGAGACGCTGACGTGGAACAAACCCAGTCTCAGTGGCGTGGCCCCGCTCCCTCGTAGTCTCCACTCCGCGACCACCATAGGAAACAAGTGAGTGGCAGCCCCAGGGAGGCCGCCTCCTGGCTGGCTGGCATCCGTTCAGCTCTGGGGACCCCGAGGAGATGGTCCTGGGGCGGAGGGGCCGTGGCGTGCACGCTTGTCATCTTGGTGCACCGGCAGGCCCAGGCAGGAGGATCCCAAGTTCCAGCCCAGCCTGGGTGACCTAGTAAGGTCCTGGCTCAAAACACAGAAGAAAGCAAGAAAGGGCTGGGGCTGTAGCTCAGTGCAAATGCCACCACCCAGCCCTAGGCCCTGCCTGGGCACTGACGAGGGTGCAGCCCACTGTGGGCTCTGGACGCCAGCAGCTGTGTGTGTGGGCACCAAGGTCATGGGGACGGTGGGAGCAGGGCGTGCTTTAGGTGGGCTGAGTGGGGTCTCTCGCTGGAGAGTGACCTGGCGTCTGAACATTTGGGACACCCTGGGGACTCTTGGGCAGAGCTGCAGGACCAAGCCCATCCTGACTTCCTGGGTGGAAGAGGTAGCCTCTGGCTTGTCTCCTCCTCTACAGTCCTCTCCTGCTTCCCCTCTCCAGAATGTACGTGTTTGGTGGCTGGGTGCCCCTGGTCATGGATGACGTCAAGGTGGCCACGCACGAGAAGGAGTGGAAGTGTACCAACACCCTGGCTTGTCTCAACCTGGGTATGGCCTCCTGGGGCGTGGTGTGGCCTGCGGGAGGCTGAACCCCTTGATCCTGAGAGCTGTGGTGTGCAGGAGGTGAAAGCCAGCAATGTCCAGGGGCAGCGCTTGGAACTGCGCCTCTCTCACTTCTTAGTGTTTTTTGTACCTGTAGGCTGGGGCCTCATGTGAGGGCCCCTGCAGGGACTCCTCAACACACCTCCCCTGCAGCGGTGGCTTGCTGGTCACACTGCATCCCTGCACAGTGACCAGGGTGTCTTTTTAAATGGGTGTTGTGGTCTCACGGCCGGTACAGGCACTTCCTCTGTGGCTATCCGTGCGTGATGCACACTCCATGCAGTATACTACAAGGGTAAAGACCTGGGAGTACGTAGCAGGCTCGGTGGCATCTGCTGTAATCCCCGTGATTTGAGGAGACGTTGAGCCCACAAGTGCAAGACCAGCCTGAGCAGCATAATGAGAGTGTTTCAAGGAAAAGAAAGCTCACCCTAGAGGTCCAGAGGCCTGCGCAGAGGCTTTCCCAGAGCACATGCTCCTGGTGGTGCCTCGGGCCCTGGAAGCTGGCGGCCAGCCTGCAGCCCTGTGGCGGGAGCTGCCCTCCCTGCATGCTGGCCCCCAGTCCCGGCTCCCCCTGAGCTCCTGCTGCAGTGGGCGAGCTCAGCTGCTGGGCACTGTGCATTTTCAGTCCGTGTTGCTCATGTCGTGACAAAGGGAGTGTGTCTTTGGGAATTAGGGTTCCTTTGCCCATCTATGTCTGTGGGCTGTTGCTTGATGTATAAGACTTAAAATCGCTGTGCCACACAGGAAACCTTCCAAGTTTGTTGTTTGTGTTTTATTCTGTTACTTTTTATGACTTTTTGCTGGGCAGAGTTGGTTTTTTGTTTTTAACTTAGTGACTTGGCAACGTCTTCTAATTTCCTATCAGCAGTGAGAGGACGGGAGGGGCAACTGGGACCGGTGGGGTAGCTTCCTCTGCCCTCCCTGTTGACCCCACCACCTTCCCCTGCAGACACCATGGCCTGGGAGACCATTCTGATGGACACGCTGGAGGACAACATTCCACGCGCTCGAGCTGGCCACTGTGCCGTCGCCATCAACACCCGCCTGTACATTTGGAGTGGGCGTGATGGCTACCGCAAGGCCTGGAACAACCAGGTTTGCTGCAAGGACCTCTGGTACCTGGAGACAGGTGAGCTGCCAGCCGCCCGGGCTCCCCTGCTGCTCCCATTCCCGTGTGCCTCACTGGCCGCGTTCTCTTGCAGAAAAGCCACCTTCACCGGCCCGGGTCCAGCTGGTGCGCGCCAATACCAACTCCCTAGAGGTGAGCTGGGGGGCGGTGGCAACAGCCGACAGTTACCTTCTACAGCTCCAGAAATACGACATTCCTGCCACGGCTGCTACTGCCACCTCCCCCACACCCAACCCGGTCCCGTCTGTGCCTGCCAATCCTCCCAAGAGCCCTGCCCCGGCAGCGGCTGCACCTGCTATGCAGCCACTGACCCAAGTAGGCATCACGCTCCTGCCCCAGGCTGCCGCAGCGCCGCCAACCACCACAACCATCCAGGTCTTGCCGACGGTGCCAGGCAGCTCTATTTCCGTGCCCACTGCAGCCAGGACTCAGGGTATGCGGGTGCCCCAGGCCTGCATGTTCAGCTTGGCGGGGGACGGGGCAGGGGCTGTGTGGAGAGGTTCCTTGCTGATGGCTGGCACCCTCTCTCATCAGGTGTCCCTGCTGTTCTCAAAGTGACTGGTCCGCAGGCTACTGCAGGAACCCCACTGGTCACCATGCGACCTGCCAGCCAGGCTGGGAAAGCCCCTGTCACTGTGACCTCTCTGCCTGCCGGCGTCCGGATGGTTGTGCCCACACAGAGCGCTCAGGGGACGGTGAGGAGCTGGGGCTGGGCTGGGCGACCCTGTGCTGCGTGTCGTGTGCCTTTTCCTCCTGAAGTGCTGGCGGGCTGTCAGCAGAGAACGATAGGGTGGCACTTTCAGAGGGCCTAAGCATGCATGGGGAGGATGCTGGGGCATCTTAGGTGTGGGCCTCCCAGCCCTGGAGCCTGCAAGCAGAACCTGGCAGACTGCAGCTGACCCGGGTATCGGTGGAGTTGGCGGTGCCCTGGGGACTCCGGGGCCTTGGACTTGCCGAGTGCATACCCTAGCACTGAGCCATGATTGGTCTTCTAAAAAGACACTTGACACCGGGGCTGCTGGCCCTGTTGTGGAAGGTGCCCTCCATGTGCATGTGGGGGCCAGGAGAGAGTGCTGAGGCTACCGCTGAACGTGTGGCACGTTCCAGTTCGGCTGTGGAGTAGGGGCTGGCAGTGCCCATGTGGCTCATGCCCTATGCCCGCCACAGGTGATTGGCAGTAACCCGCAGATGAGCGGGATGGCCGCGCTGGCAGCTGCCGCCGCCGCCACCCAGAAGATCCCTCCTTCCTCGGCACCCACTGTTCTGAGTGTCCCGGCGGGCACCACCATCGTGAAGACTGTGGCTGTGACACCAGGCACCACCACCCTCCCGGCCACCGTGAAGGTGGCCTCCTCTCCCGTCATGGTGAGGGCCTATCTCCTCAGCCCCAGTGGCTCCTGCTCGCTGTGATGGCACCGGCAGCTGTGACTTGTGGGCCTGGGCTGTGGAATCAGCGGTTGCCCTTCGGGGTGTGGTGGCCTTGGCTAAGGTCCTGGGCCAAACTTTGTGCAGCCAGGGAGGGGTAGAGCCAGGGCCTAGGGCACCACGGGCAGTGGCCTGGTCTCTGCTCGCTTGTCACTCGCCTCGGCCCCCGTCACAGGTGAGCAACCCCGCTACTCGCATGCTGAAGACTGCAGCTGCCCAAGTGGGGACATCTGTCTCCTCTGCCGCCAACACATCTACCCGCCCTATCATCACGGTGCACAAGTCGGGGACTGTGACAGTGGCCCAGCAAGCTCAGGTGGTGACCACAGTGGTGGGTGGTGTCACTAAGACCATCACCCTGGTGAAGAGTCCCATCTCTGTCCCTGGAGGCAGTGCTCTGGTGAGTGACAGCTGCCAGGCTGTGGCAATGGCCAGTGGTGGCTGGGTGCCTGGGCCAGCTCTGAGAGAGGCCCGGCTGAGGCTGGGCTTCATTTGGTGCCCAGCTCACTCTGTGCTCCATCCTTTCATTTTAGATTTCCAACTTGGGCAAAGTGATGTCTGTGGTCCAGACCAAGCCAGTTCAGACTTCAGCAGTCACAGGCCAGGCCTCTACCGGCCCCGTGACGCAGATCATCCAGGTGAGCTCGTGATCCTGCCAGAAGGATCCCTCGCTCAGCCCGTGAGCATGGATGAGATGAGCAATGGGCTCTGCACAACCCGTGTCCCCCTTTGCGGAGGGTCCAGCTAGCGCAAGTGGCCCAGGGTCCCCCTACTCTGTCCCCCACTCATGGAACCCACGTGCCCCCTGAGCTGGGGAGCGCCGGGCCTGTACCACTCACCCCCGCTTCACTATTTCAGACCAAAGGGCCCCTGCCAGCGGGGACAATCCTGAAGCTGGTCACCTCAGCAGATGGCAAGCCCACCACCATCATCACCACCACGCAGGCCAGTGGGGCGGGGACCAAGCCTACCATCCTGGGCATCAGCAGCGTCTCCCCCAGCACCACCAAGCCAGGCACCACCACCATCATCAAGACCATCCCCATGTCGGCTATTATCACCCAGGCGGGGGCCACAGGTGGGGGCCACAGGTGGGGCGTGGCAGGGCCGGGTGGGGCACCTCCAAGCTGCAGAGGGGCCTGGCAGCAGGGTAGCTTCTTAGAAAGGGGCACGATGGAAATGGGGCCGTGGACGCCTCGTGGAGTCTGTCTTCCCTGGATCCCTTCTCCCATGCAGGCGTGACCAGCAGTCCTGGCATCAAGTCCCCCATCACCATTATAACCACCAAGGTCATGACCTCAGGAACTGGAGCACCTGCCAAAATCATCACTGCTGTCCCCAAGATCGCCACTGGCCATGGGCAGCAAGGAGTTACTCAGGTAAGGCTTGCATGGCCGCCTCCCGCCCAGGCTCTGGAACAGTCCCCCTAGGCAGAGCATGCTGTCATAGCGACAGGCCCAGGAGTGATGTTGGTGGCACTTTACTGTGGTGTTCTAGGTGGTGCTAAAGGGGGCCCCTGGACAGCCAGGCACCATCCTCCGCACGGTGCCCATGGGAGGCGTTCGCCTGGTCACCCCTGTCACCGTCTCCGCCGTCAAGCCAGCCGTCACCACATTGGTTGTGAAGGGCACCACAGGTGTGTAGCCTGCAGGCCGGAGCCTCAGCGGTGGCTCAGCTCTGTCCCCACATGGCATTCCACAGCTGCCTCTCCGGAGCACAGGGCTCCTGGGCCTCTGCTTGGCCAGGCCGAGTTGCTGCAGGGGAGAGGTGGCCACAGCAGCCTCACCCTGCCTCTCCTCTCTTCCCGCAGGGGTTACCACGCTGGGCACCGTGACAGGCACCGTGTCCACCAGCCTCGCTGGAGCCGGGGGCCACAGCACCAGCGCCTCCCTGGCTACACCCATCACCACCTTGGGCACCATTGCCACCCTCTCAAGCCAGGTGATCAATCCTACTGCCATCACTGTGTCAGCTGCGCAGACCACTCTGACAGCCGCTGGCGGGCTCACCACCCCCACCATCACCATGCAGGTAGGGTGTCCCGGGCCAGCACAGCACGCAGCCAGAGGTGGCTCGTTGCGCGCTCCCTGTCCCGTAGACTGCTTCAGTGAGGCGTCTTTTAATTACTAGGGTCGTTCTTGTAAGTGGCAAGTCACCTTCACAAGCGTATGGCACCCATCTCCGCGTGTTTGCTCCCTGCCCCACAGCCTCTGCCCGCTCTGCCTCGGCCCCAGAGGGTCAAGCAGCGCTGGGCAGCGGCAGGCGGGGTTGCTGGTGACTACGTAGGCTGGGGCGGGGGTGGGGAGTCGCGGCGCATGGGCACTGACTGCTGCTCTCGCCCCTAGCCCGTCTCCCAGCCTACCCAGGTGACGCTGATCACAGCACCCAGTGGGGTCGAGGCCCAGCCTGTGCATGACCTCCCCGTGTCCATCCTGGCCTCGCCGACCACGGAACAGCCCACGGCCACGGTCACCATCGCCGACTCCGGCCAGGGCGATGTGCAGCCTGGCACCGTGACGCTGGTGTGCTCCAACCCGCCCTGCGAGACCCACGAGACTGGCACCACCAACACCGCCACCACCACTGTTGTGGCTAACCTTGGGGGCCACCCTCAGCCCACCCAAGTGCAGTTCGTCTGTGACAGGCAGGAGGCCACTGCTTCTCTCGTGACCTCAACTGTGGGGCAGCAGAATGGCAGCGTGGTCCGTGTTTGCTCCAACCCGCCCTGTGAGACCCACGAGACGGGCACCACCAACACCGCCACCACGGCCACGTCCAACATGGCCGGGCAGCACGGCTGCTCCAACCCGCCCTGTGAGACCCACGAGACGGGCACCACCAGCACCGCCACCACGGCCACGTCCGGCATCGGCACCGGCCAGCAGCGTGATGCCCACCGTGCCTCGGGCGTCCCCACGGTGGTCCGCATCACTGTGGCTCCTGGGGTGCTGGAGGGGGCCCAGGGCTCCGCCAAGCCCCAGTGCCAAACCCGCCAGACCAGCGCCACCAGCACCACCATGACTGTGATGGCCACTGGCACCCCGTGCGTGGGGGGGCACGGCCCTGCCTTAGTGCAGGTGGCCCCACTGAGTGGCAAGGACGTGCTCTTGGGGCACCAGATAGAGATGCACCATGTCCACACAGCCAGTGCCCCAAGCGGGGAGCCTGGCGCGCCTGGGGGGCTGCCTGCACCTACATACGAGGGCCTACGGGCCGGCTTGCCCAGCACCTCTGTGACTGTGACCGCCCTGGAGGCGTCGCTGTGCCCCTCCGCTACCGTGACCCAGGTCTGCTCCAACCCGCCGTGCGAGACCCACGAGACGGGCACCACCAACACCGCTACTACCTCCAACGCGGGCAGCGCCCAGCGGGTGTGCGCCAACCCGCCCTGCGAGACCCATGAGACGGGCACCACACACACGGCCACCACCGCCACCTCCAACAGTGCTGTGGGCCAGCCCGAAGGCGGGCAGCAGCCCCCTGCCGGCCGCCCCTGCGAGACACACCAGACCACTTCCACGGGCACCACCATGTCCGTGGGCCTGGGTACCCCGCTCCCTGACGCTGGCCCCTCGTGCAGGACCCTAGAGTCCGGCCTGGAGGCCGCTGCGGTGCCCGCCACCCCCAGCCAGGCTGGGGCTGTGCTGCTGGCCCCCTTCCCGACGCACAGGGTGTGCTCCAACCCGCCTTGTGAGACTCACGAGACGGGCACCACGCACACAGCCACCACCGTCACCTCGAACATGAGCTCAAACCAAGGTGGGTGAGGCAGCTGGCCTGTTCGTGTCCCTACCAGGGTCTCATTGGCGCTGCGGCTGCCACTCCGATGGGGCGGGTGGGCCCTCTGGTCCTGTTGTGCCGGCCACGTGTGGAGGTCTCCGGGAGTGTCCCTTCTCTCTGGTCCCCTTGGTGGCAGAAGTCCACAGCAGTAAAGCCGAGGGAAGGCCAGCCAGTCTCTCTCCTGTCGCCCCCACAGACCCCCCACCAGCCGCCGGTGATCAGGGAGAGGTGGAGAGCACCCAAGGCGACAGCGTGAACATGACCAGCTCCAGCGCCGTCACCACGACTGTGTCCTCCACACTGCCACGGGCGGTCACCACTGTGACACAGTCCACACCAGTCCCAGGCCCCTCAGTGCCGGTAAGAGTCTAGAGGGTCCTTTCATCTCCTGCCTGGCGGCTGTGCCTCCGGCCATGCTGTTCCACGGCGGGACACCAGGTGTCGCTCTTGGACTGCACAGGACGCCGTGCAGGTCCCTTTTCCAGACCATAAAAGGCAGCCACGTGGGGAAAGGAGGCTGCAGTCCTCAGCCGCCTGCCTACTGCTGTGTGTCACTTAACTGTGGTACACCACGCTGGGTTCCACATGCCCACTGCTCCAGCCCACAAGGCCCCCTTGAGGATAGTTAGAGCTGACGGGAGTGTGTGTGAGTGCACGCGTGCACTCAAGGGGTCCTTTCACCCAGTCCCTTTTCCCATGGAGCGTGGCGTCGGGATGGCCCCATTATGAATGACGCCAAGGCCCCCTGGACAGATGAGGGTTGCTGCCTTTTCTGGTGTCCCTGCTCTGCTCCCCTGGGTGAGCAGGCTCCCTTCCGGATGCTCTCATCCCTGACGGAACCCCACCCCACCCCACCCCACCCGCCGGCCTGGCCATGGGACCGCAGAAGCTCCTGACGTGCTCTTCTCTGCTGTTGACACCTGCAGCCCCCCGAGGAGCTCCAGGTCTCCCCTGGGCCCCGCCAGCAGCTGCCACCAAGGCAGCTCCTGCAGTCCACATCTGCACCTCTCATGGGGGAGTCAGCCGAGGTCCTGGCCGCCGCCCAACCTGCAGAGCTGCAGGCCGCCGTGGACCTGAGCAGCACAGGGGACCCGTCTTCAGGGCAGGAGCCCACCAGCTCTGCCGTGGTGGCCACTGTGGTGGTCCAGCCCCCCCAGCCCACGCAGTCTGAAGTAGACCAGTTGTCACTTCCCCAGGAGCTCATGGCCGAGGCCCAGGCAGGCACCACCACCCTGATGGTCACAGGCCTCACGCCTGAGGAATTGGCTGTGACTGCTGCCGCCGAGGCAGCTGCCCAGGCTGCGGCCACTGAGGAAGCCCAGGCCCTGGCCATCCAGGCTGTGCTGCAGGCCGCACAGCAGGCTGTCATGGGTAAGTGCCATAGTGAGTAGGTGACAGCCAGCGAACGGGGCAGTCCAAGGGGAGAAGGGCTGCTTCCCACACGAGTGGCCTTGTGGGCCCCGGGCAGATGGTGGCCAAGGTAGAACTGGGTGGAGGGGACAGGGTACAAGTTTCTGGGGCCACCGTCTCTGTCCCCAGGGCCAGGCTTGCCATCATTTTTCTTGAGTAGTATTGTTCCTTGGCCCTGGAGCAGGCACTGGGGAGCCCATGGACACATCCGAGGCGGCAGCGGCCGTGACACAGGCAGAGCTGGGCCACCTTTCTGCTGAGGGCCAGGAAGGCCAGGCTACCACCATCCCCATCGTGCTGACACAGCAGGAGCTGGCGGCCCTGGTGCAGCAGCAGCAGCTGCAGGAGGCGCAGGCCCAGGCCCAGCAGCAGCACCATCTCCCCACCGAGGCACTGGCCCCGGCCGACAGCCTCAACGACCCAGCCATCGAGGGCAACTGCCTCAACGAGCTGGCTGGCGCCGTCCCCAGCACTGTGGGCCTGTTGCCCCCCACAGCCACTGAGAGTAAGCCGGGGCCGACTGGAGTTGGGTTCCCTGGCGAGGGTGGGGCACACGGAGTCCAGAGCCTGCCCACTCACGGCACCTTCTTCCCAGGCCTGGCCCCGTCCAACACGTTCGTGGCTCCCCAGCCGGTTGTGGTCGCCAGCCCGGCCAAGCTGCAAGCTGCAGCTACCCTGACCGAAGTGGCCAATGGCATCGAGTCGCTGGGTGTGGTGAGTTGGGAGTGTTTGGGTCACAGGACGCAGTGCCTGTCACCTCCAGGCCCCAAGGGCCAAGGGCCTGCCTGATCTCTCCATTTCTGGTTTCTAGAAGTCAGACTTGCCACCGCCACCCAGCAAAGCCCCTGTGAAGAAGGAGAACCAGTGGTTTGATGTGGGGGTCATTAAGGGCACTAATGTAATGGTGACACACTATTTCCTGCCGCCAGATGATGCTGTCCCATCGGATGTAAGTGTCCTTGGGCCCTGGCTCCCTTGGGTGGGTGGATTCTGGTCATGAGGCAAGTAATGCAAGCGAAACCTGGCCTTGTGGCTCAGGGCAGGGGCTACCTGTGCACCCAGTGCAGCTAGGTCCTTTCACTGGCGGAAGGAAGCCCGGGCTCTGTGTCCCCTTGGCTGCGCCCAGCCTCGGTCCACCTCCCCTTCCCTCCTGTGCCCTCATCGCTCGTGGCCTCTTCTCTGTATGCCCTGCGTGTCTGCAGGCAGCTAGCTGGACAGCGTGCTGTGGGCCTGCGCTGCTGCTTCCCTCGGCCACCTTGGGGCCCGGGGCTGGAAGCCCACAGAGCTGCATCCCCAGCCTCTAAAGCTGCCACCTCACAGCAGGCTTGCTGCCCTTCCGTCTGTCTCCAGGATGACTCGGGCACCATCCCTGACTATAACCAGCTGAAGAAACAGGAGCTACAACCAGGCACAGCCTATAAGTTCCGTGTCGCCGGTATCAACGCCTGTGGCCGAGGGCCCTTTAGTGAGATCTCCGCATTTAAGACGTGCCTGCCGGGTTTCCCGGGGGCCCCTTGTGCCATTAAAATCAGCAAAGTGAGTCTTGCTAGGGGCCAGGTGTGGGGCCTGCGGGGAAGGTCCCAAGTGGGGGCAAGGCGACCGGCTGGTTTCAGTCATCGGGTGCCCAGGGGACCAGGAGAGCCGTTTCCCTGACCTCTGAGTTTGGCGGCTGTTGCCCTGTGCTGTTGAGTGCATTCTGTTCTTGGCCTAGAAATGTCCCTGGGGTCAGGGTCCATTGTGAGCTCCTTGCCCAGCTGCCAAAGCTAAGGGACGAGTCCCAGGAGCAGGGGGCACAGGGAGGTGGTTTTGAGTCCTCACTTGGGGCAGTTCTCCCTCAAGCTGTTGGGGCTCCGATGCACGCGCAGTCAGGGGCACTTACGGTCCTGGGAGAGGCCGTGTTGGCAGAGGCTGCGGTGGCTGCTGCGAGCTAGAGCTGAGCGGACGTGCTCTCCACCTGCAGAGTCCCGACGGTGCTCACCTCACGTGGGAGCCACCCTCTGTGACCTCGGGCAAGATCATCGAGTACTCCGTGTACCTGGCCATCCAGAGCTCGCAGGCGGGCGGTGAGCCCAAGAGCTCGGCACCGGCGCAGCTGGCCTTCATGCGTGTTTACTGCGGGCCCAGCCCCTCGTGCCTGGTGCAGTCCTCCAGCCTGTCCAATGCGCACATCGACTACACCACCAAGCCTGCCATCATCTTCCGCATTGCTGCGCGCAACGAGAAGGGCTACGGCCCCGCCACGCAAGTCAGGTGGCTGCAAGGTGAGCCGTGTATCCCGGGGCTGCTGCCGTGGCCACTGGGGCCCGGCTGAAGCAGGGGCAGGAGAGCAAACTCCACCTCTGGCAGAGAAATGCTCACCCCCCTGCCTCCTGTCCCTTCCAGAGACCAGTAAGGACAGCTCGGGCAGCAAGCCGGCCAGCAAGCGGCCCATGTCCTCTCCGGAAATGTAGGTGGAGAGCCGCTCTGGGAGCCTGGCAGGGGGGCGAGGACTCGGCCACTCTGGAGGGCAGGGTGTGGGCCTTCGCCATCACTAATGCACACTCTCTGCCGCCTCCCAAGGAAATCTGCTCCAAAGAAGTCAAAGGCGGACGGTCAGTGAGAGGAAGCTGGCCGTACTGAGACCCTCCCAGACCCCTCGCTTCAGGAACTGTCGCCGCCCGCCTGCCCGCCCGGCTCCTGCACTCCCCCACCACCGCCTCCACCCTTCCTCGCTGGCTCTGCTCTGGCCTGAAGAAAGCACACGGCCGCCGCCGGGAAGCAGCTTGCCTGTGAAAGTGCGCCCCTTCCTCTACCTGCCTCTGCCTCTGCACCTGCCCACGGGCACAGCAAGCTGGGGTTCAGAGGCCTGCAGAGGAGCAGGGCCCACCGAACCCACCTCAGAGGCTGCGCACATTCTGTGGCTCCTCGCTTTCAGTGTGGGGGCTTCGGGTCTGCCTGCTTCTCTCTCATTTGTCACCTGGTGTTTGCAGCCACCTCCTGCCCCTCCCTCAGGCTTAGCACCACCCCCCACCCCACCCCACCCCCGTGCCCCCTCTTCTCCAAGGCCCTCTCCCGTTCCTCCTCGCTTGCCTCCCTCCCGCTTTATTGAAAAAGGAAGGCAAAAGAGGGGCCATGGGGCGCCAGGGCCTGAGCAGTGGGTGTCACCCTCCTCCGACCCACGGGCGCAGTGTGGCCCCCGCAAGCCCGGCTCCACCCTGCCTGGCCTGACGCTGGGGGCCACATCACCAACTGCTGCATTTGTTGTATTTTTTTAAGTTGAAATTGATGAAGTTAACATTTTTATTGTAATTTTAGCCTTAGCGTGTGGGGCTTTGTCCCTTTTTTGTTGTTGTTAGCTGTGTACAGAATGTTTCTTTCTCCCCAGTTTTTAACTTTTTTCTCCTTGGCTAACCCTTGGCAGGGATCTTGTAGAGGAAAAGTGGGGGCAGCTTAGGGCTGGAGGGGTGCAGAAGGGGCCTCCTTCCTCCTGCTGACTGGCTCACTCCCCTCCCTCCCTCTCGGAGTCTGGAGTCTGGAGCCTGGAGTAGGCCACTGCCCTGGGCTGTGCCTGTCCCCAGCCTCTTGGGACTTAGGAGTGGAACTGTGGGACCGCCCTTGGGGCAAGCACTTCCTACCAAGAGGGACCGCAGGGCAGACTGGGCTCACAGCACTGCCCCGTCCCGTCCAGGTGGGCCTTGTCCCCACTTCCTGGAGGCCCAGCCTTCCGCCTCCACTGAGCCTGTCGGGCTGCTCTGCCCCACTGCAGCTGGGGGCAGCAAGCAAAGTTTGCTAGTGGTCCTCCTGGCTGGGTTTAGGTGACAGCTGGTCCGGCCCCTCCATCTCTGCCAGAGGCGCGTGGAGGTGGTGCCGCCGGCCAAACCCCCAGGGCCTCTGGTTTGTTGTATTATAGTATATTTCGCTGTGGAAACTGTCACGTTTAGTCGCCTTGGAGCCCGCCTGTCCCATTGTTTTGCCCGTCCCCTCTCCTGAGCGCCCTATGATTTCTCTTGTTTCTGAGAACAGTACCACCCGTTCATCTATTGTAGAGTAACCCGTGACTCAATATTACCATAGTGCGATGTCGTTTTGTGCTATTTTGAACAATTAAAGACTTTTTTTGAAAAAAACAATCTGGTGTCTTGCTATGTTGGGTGTCCTACGGCCTCTGGAGAGGAAGTGGGGATCTGGGTCCCGGATGAGCTCTTCTGCCACTCACTCCTGCAGTGCCCCAAGGCCTCAGCCCTTTGAGGCCTGGCTGCCAGCGAGGTGCTGGTGCTGGCCGAGGCGCAGGAGGCCGCACACCTGGTGTGCAGTGGGCACTCTAGGTCCTGCGGGAGTGGGCCCTCTCTCATGCCGCCAGGCCCTGAGAACAAGGGGCAGGGTTTGCTGAGCCCCTCCGGCCAGGGGCCCGGCTAGGGTTGGTGGGCGGGACTGCCCTTCCTGCTAGGTTAGAGCAGGGGGTCTGATGCCTTTTGAGAAGCACGGGGGGGGGGGGGTGGCCCTGTGTCAAAAAAAGTCCAAAAAAAAAAAAAAAAAGGCGGCGGGGGGGGGGGGGGCACACCAGCATCCCTCACTTCGTTGCCTCTGTGGCCCCCCTCACCCAGGCAGGAATGAGTACCAGCGGCGCCCTACCTCAGCCCAAAGCACTGTGGCTTGCATTACTCAGGACCTGCCCAGGTGGTGGCCTGCTCCCACTTCTCTGGCTCTGGTCGCATCGCACAGGGTCTGAGGTGTCCATCCACTCAGCCTGTAGCTTTGGGATTGCAGCCAGGGCCATGTCACCCTGGCCAGGGGGAGCCCAGTGCCAGGGACGGAGCCCTACCCACTGGGCCCAGGGCAGAGGGAGCCTGGGAACCCAGGCTGAGCCAAGGCCCAGTCCTTGCCTGGGCGAGGCGGTGGCATGTGTGAGGGAGGACACGAGTGGCTACAGCATCAGCAATGCCGTGCCTGTGTCAGCTGGGACCCCGGGTCGGGTGCCCCTGCAGGTCTTGGGACCACACTTGTCCCTAAGCACTGCCACGGGCAACAGTGGGGTCAGAGAGTCAGCATGGCCAGCCGGAGTGGAACGGCCACGGCCTGCAAGAAGACCACCTGGTGGAGTGGGGCCATGGCCCTGGGGTGGCATCAACAGGAGAACCAGCCCTGCTTCTCCTGGAGGCGGATCCTTCGCGGACCTCCGACTCTACTGGGCCAGCTTGGAGGCGGCCCGCTGACAGGGACAGTGGCCTGTGATTAGAGCTGGACGGCCACTGGGCACAATGTGGACCAGAGCAGGCGGCTGGGAGACAGTCTAGCCACTCGACCTCCAGCGGCAGGCCTTGGTGCCCAGCGCGGCCCGCAGAAACGGCTGGAGAACGTAGTAATCGGAGGCCGTGACCTCTGCCGCCCAGCCTGGTCTCGGCCCTCGGCACCCGCCCCCGACCCCTTCTGCCCACCGGGAAGCTCTTGGCCTTGGGTGCCAGGCGTTTGAGCCTCTCTGCCAGATCCGAGGCCAGAGGGTCTGGGCCGGGCCGGAGCGCGGGGGCGGGGCTAACGAGTTCCTCCCCCGCCCCGCCCCCTGGCCCCCCGGCGCCCCGAGGAGGGGTGGGGCGCAGCTTGGTCAGCTGAGTGACTGTCACGGGACCACAACCAGCTCTGCCTGGCTTCCTGGAGGAGCGGGACTGAGGAGTGAGCGTCTTGGAACGCGACAGGCTAGTGGCGGGGCCGTCGGGGCGCTGGTGACCCTGGGGCGCCCGGCGCCCAGCGGGCGGCGGGGCGAGGTGCCCGCGCAAGGCCGGGAGGTCCCCGGGCAGGCACCCGGGGGGGGGAGCGCGTGGGGAGCGGTGCCTCGAGCTCTGAGCCCCCCCCCCCCAGGACATGGAGAAGGAGTGGGAGGCTCTGCAGGCCTGGAAGGAACGCATGGCGCAGGAGCTGGACCGCGTGGTGGCCTTCTGGACCGCGCACTCGCACGACCCGGAGCACGGGTGCGCAGCCCGCCGTCCCCAGCCCTTGCCTCTCCCGGGGCGACTCCCGGGACGCTGGCAGGCCTCCTTCCCTCTCCGTTGACCCTGCGCGTCCACAGGGGCTTCCTCACGTGCCTGGGCCGCGACGGGCGGGTGTATGACGACCTCAAGTACGTGTGGCTGCAGGGGAGGCAGGTAGGGGACGTCCCAGCCAGCCCCACTGCTCTTGTGCGGCGACCGTGTCCTCCCGCCTGAGCCCACTCTCGTGCCCAGCTCGTCCCCCCAGTAGTCCTTTTCCCGCAGCTGCTCCCCGCTCCCACAGGTGTGGATGTACTGTCACCTGTACCGCAAGTTCGAGCGCTTCCGCCGGCCGGAGCTTCTGGATGCCGCGAAAGCAGGTGCCCCCCGCCCGCCCGCCCCGAGCAACACCTCCCGGGGCCTCACCGTGCTGACTCCATGCGAGGGCGCGGGCGCGGGGCGCCGGGGAGCGGCCGCCCCCCCCTCCCCCGACTCCAGAGCGACACCCGCCCCGGCCGCCAGGTGGCGAGTTCTTGCTGCGCTGCGCCCGGGTGGCGCCTCCCGAGCAGAAGTGCGCCTTCGCGCTGACGCGGGACGGCCGCCCCGTCAAAGTGCAGCGGACCATTTTCAGCGAGTGCTTCTACGCCATGGCCATGGACGCGCTCTGGAAGGTGACGGAGGACGCACGCTACCAGGTGCTTCCATCTGGACCACGACTAGGGGCTCCCCTCCTCCCGCCCTTTAGAGCGGGAGCCCCCGGGAAGCCTCCCTGGGGTTCGTGAGGGACAGGGCGCTCCCACGTCGGGCCGGGTTCCGGGCCCCCGCGGGTTCCTGGGGACCCGGCAGAGGGCGCAGCCCCCGCCCGACCTCCCCTCACCCCCGTTCCCGCCCCCGCCCCCTTCCCCTGGTCCCCGCAGAGGGAAGCGACGGAGATGATGGACCAGATCGTCCGCTGGGTGCGGGAGGACCCGTCGGGGCTGGGCCGGCCCCAGCTCGCGGGGACCCCAGCCGCCGAGCCCATGGCGGTGCCCATGATGCTGCTGAGCCTTGCGGCGCAACTCGGGGACAGGGACGGGGACCAGGACGAGGCGCTGGTGGGCAGATGGGCTGAGCTGGGGGACTGGTGCGCCCGGAGGATTCTGCTGCACGTCCAGGTTGGGGACGGTGCCTCCAGGTGCCTGGGGGATAAGGTGGGGCTGGAGGGAGGGAGGGGTCCGAGCCCAGGTGGGGCCTGATCCGCATCCCTCCCAAGGCCCTGGGGCACTGAGCTCACCAGCCTTCACCCTGGCTTGGCCTGGGACTTAGGGGGCCGGGACCAGAGCCACCTCCTGCCCCTCCCCCGCAGAGAGATGGCTGCGCTGTCCTGGAGAATGTGTCTGAGGATGGCCAGGAGCTCCCTGGCTGCCTGGGCCGACACCAGAACCCAGGTGAGGGGCGAAGTGGGCCTGGGGCTCAGGTGCCACCCGGGCTGGCACTTCCAGGCACCACATCCATGCAGACCCCTCCCCAGGTCATGCGCTGGAGGCAGGCTGGTTCCTGCTTAGCTATGCTAGCAGGAAAGGTGACCCTGAGCTTCGAGCCTACGTGATCGAGAAGTTCCTCCTGCTGCCCTTTCGCTCTGGATGGGACCCCGAGCACGGGGGCCTCTTTTACTTTCAGGACGCCGATGGCTTCTGTCCCACCCAGGTGGGCCACCCTGCCACCAGCCCTGTTTTAGAGGGGCCACGGGCTTGGCCCCCTGCCACACGGGAAACCTGAACGCCACCGTTCCCTGGCCGACTGGGCCTTGGCGGTGCCCATGATGCTGCTGAGCCTTGCGGCGCAACTCGGGGACAGGGATGGGGACGAGGATGAGGAGCTGTCCTGCCCAGGCTCTGCAGCAACAGGGGGAGCCTCATCCTTTCAGGAGGCCACCTAACCAGCCCCGTTCTGAGGGGCTTTCCAGAACCCCAAGATACCAGGCGCCTGAGCCAGTGAGACCACCGGGCTGCACCTCCCGTGGAGGGCGTCCGGCCACTCGGCTTTGCTCTGCCCTCAGCTTGAGTGGGACATGAAGCTCTGGTGGCCGCACAGCGAAGCCATGATCGCCTTCCTCATGGGTTACAGAGACAGCGGGGACCCTGCCCTGCTGCACCTCTTCAAGCAGGTGGCGGAGTACACCTTCCGCCAGGTGAGCAGTGCAGGGCCCCAGAAGCCCCACCTCCTGGGCCTCCTGTGTGTTAGGGCCAGCGTGGCCTCTTTCCTGTGGAGCCCCAGGAAGGGCGCGCTGTGCAGGGTGCTGAGGGGCACAAGAGGCCCGCAGGCTGTCTGGGGAGTACCCGCAGGGGGCCTCCATGGCCTTGGGACAGGGAGGCTGGTGGCCTTGGGAGTGAGGCTAGTTCAGAAGGGGAGGGCTAGGCAGGGTGGTACAGGCCTGTAATCCTAGCAACTGGGAGGCTGAGACAGGAGGATCTCAAATTTGAGCCCAGCCTGGGCAATTCAGACCCTGACTCAAAATTAAGAGGGACCAGGGGTGTAGCTTAGCACTTCCTGGGTTCAATCCCCAGTACCTCACATGCACACACACTGACAAGGGAGAGGTCTGGGCTGGCTGCATGTGTTCAAGTGTCATAAGGATACAGATCACTCGAGAGGCTGAGGCAGGAGGATTGCCATGAGTTCGAGGCCAGCCTGGGCTACCTAAGTGAGTTCAAGGCCAGCCTGAACTAATAGCAAGACCCTGTCCAAAATAAATTAAAAAAAAAAATACAGATGATAGTAGCCAGGAACACTATTAGCATTTGGGAGGTTGAAGCAGGAAGATGCCTGTGAGTTCCCAATGACCCTGTCTCAAACAAAAAAAAAAAAAAAAAAAGAAAGCCAGGCATCGTCGAACACACCTGTCATCCCAGCAGGGAAGGCTGAGGCCAGTCTGGGCTATACAGTGAGTTCAAATTCCATACTGAGACCCTGTCTCAAAAACAAACAGTGGGGCATAGGGACACGCCTGTCAGCCCAGCACTCAGGAGGCTGCGGCAGGGGACCACCCTGAGTTCCAAGTTCAGCCTGTGCTGAGACCCTGTCTCATCAAACCAAACCAAACAACATAGACAGTGCTAAGAGCCGTGATGCAAAGTAAGCTTCCGAGTAGAGAGGAAAGCCCAGGAGCAGCAGCACCGGAGACACCAAGGATGAGGGAGGATGACGCAGCCAGGGGCCCCCTGACGCCTGAACAATGGAGAAGCTCCTGCAGGGGCTCTTGAAGACCCTGGCCCAGGCATCCAGCCCAGGTCTCCCTATGCATCTCCCAGGCATCTGATGAGCCTGGGATGTCTTCACAGTATGGTTTCAAGAGGGCTACCAGGAGCCACTGTGAAATGCAACCGGGATGTGATGTACTTCAACAAGAGAGGACACTACACAGTTACAAAGCCCCCAGGCCACTCATGACCACAGAGCAGCAGCAGGACAATTCAGAAAGCAAACTTACGCTACACAGGACAAACGGGACAGAAACATGGGGGATTTTGATTTTTTTCTTGTGCTGGGGTATTAGCTTCCTGTCTCCGAATAAGTAGTAAAATCAGAAAGGACACAAGCTGTCACTCCAAAGGTAGTGTGGCTAGAGAGGCCTGGCGCACCACTCTGGGAGGATACGCCACCTCTCGGGGGCCACAATTTCAAGGGAAACTTTGACAGTGGACTTTGATGTTACTGGTCTTGTATGATCGTTCTGAGAAACAGCTGTTTTTATTTTTCAATTAATTTTTTGAGACTGGGCTTTGCTGTGCAGTTCAGGTTGGCCTTGAACTCACGGCAGTCTTCCTGCCTCAGCCTCCCGAGTGCTGGAATGACAGGCTGACAGGGTGCGCCACGAGGCCCAGCAGGGCTATGATAGTTCGTTTTGGCCCGACTGGTGTGTTCTTGACCTGAGAAGGCGCTCCACTTTCACTGGCACGGAAAGAGAAGGGTGTGGCTGAGGCCGGGTGCACCCTGGAGTCTGTACAGGTGCCACTTGCCGCATTGGGAGCTGCTGGGCACCAGCTGGGCACTAGGGCTGGCAGAGGAGCAGCCGCGGGGAGCCGGGCAGGAGCAGGGCTCTGTGTGATGTAGCCTAAGTCTGCCGGGCGTCGCTGGTTACAGAGTTTCCCGGGGCTGCCGCTGCAACGTGTCCGTGTTAAGTAGCACTCAAGGAGCCAGACTAGAGCCCGGCCCGGTCCTCTATCCCGGCAGCTCCTTCCCCAGGCTGGGGCCGTGTTGCTGCGCTGCACTGGGGACCTCGGCGCTGGCTAACACTTGTCTCCTTCTTACCCAGTTTCGCGATCCTGACCACAGCGAATGGTTTGGCTACCTGAACCGGGAGGGGAAAGTCGCGCTCACTATCAAGGGGGGCCCTTTCAAAGGTGAGCAGGGCGTAGGGGCTCGCGGCCCCGCGCACCCCTGCCCTCCCAACCCGCCGCCTCTCTCCTAGGCTGCTTCCACGTGCCGAGGTGCCTGGCCATGTGCGAGGAGATGCTGGGTGCCCTGCTAAGCCGCCGCACCCCGGACTCCGGCGCACCCTGCACCCC